ATATTCTTTTAAAAAAGGTCCTGATTAAAAAAAAGTCCTGATTTCAAATTTTAGTGCTGTTGATGAAGATGAGTAAATACAATTATAACTTATCACGTTTGTTTTTGTTTGTGGCATAATGGCAATTAAAATGTTATATTAAGTATCTGTTAGACTTTTTTTTTAATTCTAGGCTAAATTTCTCCTAGGAAAACAAGGTGACTAAGTGACTATAGTACCAAGACTGGAGTTAGGAAGGCCTGAGTTCAAATTTGACCTCAGACATTTGCTAGCTATGTGACTTGGGAAAATTCACTTAACCCTGTTTGCCTCAGTTTCCTTATCTATCAAATGATCTGGAGAAGGAAATGGCAAATTGCTCCAGTATCTCAAATTGTGTCATGAAGAGTCAGACACAACTAAAATGACTAAACAACAACCACAACTACCAGAAATTACTACCCGCTGAACTCTGTGCTTTCTGAATAAAGATTCTAGTTTGAGAAGTTAGAGTCTTGCTGGTCAAACCCTGAACCAGAAAGGCACTCATGCCTGACTGACTCTGACTGTGATAGCCAGCAGGAAAGGATTCCCAAAGTCAGACCAGCCTCAGCCTCAGTCTCCTGGATTCACCAATTTGACATGACCTGGCTTTAGTCATATATTAATTGAAGAGTTCATCGCTGAATTTTCACTGAATCTTAAGAATTTTATTTTAATCTTACTCTTCAAAATGTTTAGTATTCTGTAACATTTTGAATCATGTAACACTGCCCTCTCCTGGTGCAGAAAGGAAGATTCAGGTTCAAAGTTAGATCCAAGATTTCTTTGGTTATGATGTTTTTGAATCTTCAATCACAGATAAACTGATAAAGAGTATTTTTTACTTGAAATGTGTCCCCTTTCAGGTGCTAGTAATTATTCTAATTGAAGGTAGAGAAGTGAACTCATTTTAAACTAAATCTTTCCTACAAACTTTGAATGGATAGGAATTTGAATAATAAAATTCTATCTCTCTTAAGTTCTGTAGAATTAAACAAGTATTTTCCATTTCATTTTAGAGTTTTTTTCTGTCTGTATGCCTATCTTTGTTTTTGTCTTTCTGTCTCTGTTTTTCTTTCCTTCCAAGAATCAAATCAGTAGCTGGTGGGCAGGGAGGTGGATTTGTATTCACAACCCCATGATATGATGACTTGATACATTTATGAACTGAACAGCCTCAACTGATACATGCCACATTAGTTCTGTGTTTTCACTTAAAAATAAATATATAAGAAAACAAACACAATGAGTTAACAGTAAGGAATCACAAAAAAAAATTCAGAGTTGTACTAAAAAGATGGAAATATCAAAGAAACCACTTCTGAAAATGTCCATATAACCATGAAGTAATATCACTGAAAAAAAGAATTTATCATAAAATCATAGAACACCTTAAGTGGGATAGACCTCAGATGTCATCTAGGCTAACCTTAGCCCAAATATGAATTCCTTTTCACCAGATCTTCCATGATCGTGACTCTGTTTTTTAGATTAATTTCTTCTGCTTAAAAACATGTTTCTGATTTTTTTTTGTCTTTTTTGTAGTGATAGATCCTGCCTGAATTTTAGTCTTGTTTTTCATGCCCTCTTCGAAGTCATAAATCTAGCACCTCAACTTCCCCCTCTCCACAATTAGATGCTACAAAAAATTGTCTTAAGACCATATGGCAGGATCCCCCAAAATATGTTTCTCACTCAGTCTTCCCCTTTCATATCTATATTTCATAAGAATTCCCAGGATCTCAACTGGAGCCAATCTGTTCTCTTCTCTCAACAGTATGTTAATTATGCAGTTTGGGATGACAGTCCACATTGCAGGAAGAGAGAGGGGCAGATGAGCAAACTTATTTACACATTTTCCAAGTCTTCTAAGCTCTTTTCTCCCTAAACCTAAATTAATCTCTCTCTCTCTCTCTCTCTCTCTCTCTCTCTCTCTCTCTCTCTCTCTCTCTCTCTCTCTCTCTCTCTCCTAAAATCTAGCTGTGGTTTTGTGTTTTGTTTTTGCAAGGGTAGGGAAGAGTAAAAGTACTAGAAATGTTTTCATTGAGCAAAAGTTGAGTAAGAATGGGAAAGAATATCATGTTACACAAACATTACCCGAACGGCACAGACTCTTGGCGAAACAAATGTCAGAGGCTAAAAGGAGCTGAAGAAGCAATAAGAGTTGGGAGTCTGGAAGGTCTAGTATTAGCAAATGAAAGAATATATTTGAAGTAACTCTCTTTCCTCTCCACAGCCAATCCTAGCAGAAATCTCTTTATGTCCATGTCCACAGGAGTTGAGAGTGGTAATGAAATTTAGTGGATTGCTCATCAAACCACTTTTTAAAAATGAGAGAAGAGATACACGGAAAGTTAAATGACTTGCCTAAAGCATATTAAGTAGCATAAACATGATTTAAATTCAAGTTCTCTGACTCCATATCCATTGACCTTTCCACAAAAGAAAAGCTTTGCCAGCATCAACATATCACCATCAATAGAGTATAGATCAGAAGCTAATCATATTGACAGCACAACAGCTCTATTTGAAATAGGAAAACTTAATCTGCATACTTCTAATCTCTTCACTGGGATTAAAGGTAGAATGGAAAGGAGACAGAATTCAATCATTTGGAAAGAATATGAAGATCCTAGGGAACTGGGTTAGCAGAATATTGAACCTGATATGAATTGTCAGTTAAGGGGGGGGGGGGTAAGATGCCATCAACTTGAATGAAACTTCATTTGACAAAACAGTTTTCCTTGGGAATCATCAGTTTCATTAGCATAAAAAACTAATTCCATTTGTCTTGTGTGGGGTGGCAAAAGCTCCTAGAAGTACCAAAAATCTAAATTCTACTTATGAAGTAAAGTCATTTCTCTTTCTGTACAAAAAGAAAAAAAAAACCTGAGTACTGTAAATGGATTTTGTGCTGTGTAGGAGCTGCTAACGCTGGAATAAAACCAGGTTAAGTTTTTCTTAAGGTGGAGGAAAGAAACATGCTGGCTGTTTATGAAAGAAATGGGTGGAAGACTAGAAAGATGAAGAAGAAAGAACTCATTTCTCTTCTCCTGAGAAGTAGAAAGGTTGCAAATAGGGAGTTTTGCATTTGCTGAGTGATAATGTAAATACATCTTTTGTGTAAGATATAAACATGAATTTCTCTAATAATAGTTTATGTATAGTCTCCAATTTCCCCCTTCCTCCCTCACACTGTTGCACAGACAAAACATCACAAGGCCCCTGGTATGACATTGATAGCTCATGTATAATCAGCTCTGCACAATTGGATTAGACACTTTGGGGATAGACAGGCCCTATCTCTTTTCCAATTAAAAAAAAAATGGGTAGCTGAGCCAAAAGCCAGTCACTAAGTTTTGCTTTCTGCTACCCCTCAGCTATTAGCTTTCCCTGATGTCCCTACATAGGGGCTTAAATTCTATCCAACACAGCTTGTGGTTTTACTGTCCTGGAAGTACCCCATGATTTCATGAGGCCTTTTCTTCTGCAATTAAGCAGCCATTTCTGTCAAGTGATGCCTGGCAATGCAGCACCCTGGGGAGAGGAATATGTAGTGTGATGCTTAGGTATCTAAGTCTTATTTATTAAGCATTTACTGTGTATTAATAGATATTGTCAGGGATTTTAAAAACAAAATAGATCAAAGCATTCCTCCTCTCCAGTAGGAATTTAGTGTTCTGCATATGGGTACAAGAAGAGAACGCACATGTGATAATTCAAAACACCACATATAACCAATTTACCAACTACTTTGTGTGATAGAACCCATTGCTGCTATGAGAATATAGACAAGAGAAAGATGATTGTGGATTGGAGCTGTCCAGAAAAGAAATACCTGACATACTGAAAAAGCACGTTTGGGATTTTTATTTTTTTTGGGGGGGGGGATTGAGGGATGTGTGTGCAGAAGTAGTGGGGGTGGATTAAATGCAGTCGGCATCCAAAGAAATGATTTGTTTTGGACGCCAGTGTTCTCTCAGTGTATTCCAATGACCTGCACGATTCTGGCAGCTTTTTGCTTGAAGATGTCTCCAGGGACTCAGGCGTTCAGGCTTGGGTTTTGTTTGTTTGTTTGTTTGTTTTACTGCTGTTGTTTTTTGTTTGTTTTGTTGTTGTCGTTTTTGTTTTCCTTTTCATCATTAGGTCTCTGCCTCTTGCCCCGTCAACTCTAAGGTTTATGCTTTTTGTTGTTGTTTTCCAAAGGTGCTTCAGCAGTGTGCTTTGAGGTGTGAGTTTCAACAAGCAGTTCTTGTTAGTCTAGCTGGTAAAGGCTGCCTTCGAAGACGTGGCACGGGAGCCCTAGGAAGGTAGAACTGGGTGTGCTCCATCCTTCAAGTCCAGAACTGATCGCTCCCTTCTCTGTCTCCTTTTGCGTTAAGCAAGCAAAAACTTAACTGGATCATTAGTCCCCTTAATAAATGATGCAGCTATACGCAAGTTCTCTGGCAAGGAGAACCTTTCCTAAGGCTGAGATCACCCAACTGTAAATTATGCCCAAAGGAGAGAGCATACAATGAGGTTATCTGAAGAAAAGAAAAAAGAAGAAAAACCCCCACTTTCCTTTTCTATCCATCCCCATTCTGGATCTTGTCTTTTGTTTGTTTTGTTTTGATTTCTTGTTTTTATCCAAAGGAGCAATCAACTCTATTTTCTCCATCCTTCTCGAGGGTCTCTGCCCCGCTATCCTCAATCTTGTTAGCGGGCTGTTACACCCAAGTCCAACGATGATAAACTCTCCCAATGTCCTCTTCAGGGTGAGAACGCCACCCCCCCATCCCCCACCCCCGCCTTTCCCCAATCAGTCCAAGGAAGCGACTCCATAGAAGCACTGCTATCCCTCCTGCTCCTTTCCCTCCTCCTTCTCATCTCCCTCCTTCCCTCCTCCCCCGCCACCCCTCTGCCAGGCGCTGACCACACCCCTCGCCCGTTGTCCACTGTCCCTGGGACGGTCCGCTGCCAGTCTGTTGGTGCTGGGATTTGGGGGCCAGAGGCCGGGAGCTGTCAGACCGCCCATGCGCGGACTCAGCAGCAGAGGAGGCTGCGGGAGCGCGCAGGGGAAAAGGCAGAAGGGCAGCTCCTCCAATGTAACTCTCCTCCTCCTACCGCGGCGCTGGTGGCAGCAGTAGCTGCTGCGGCGGCAGCACCTTGCAGTCCCAGAAGCTACACCATGCTTCTAGCTGCCCAGTCACTGAACAGAGTCGGAGGGTCCCTTGTCTCCTGCCCCTCTGGCCAGAGCCTCTAAGGCTGAGAGCTCACTACCCCTGTCCACACCAATTCTGAGAGGACTTTTCTTTTCTCTTCTTTTTGGCTTTGGCATTTGGGAGCACCGGGCAGCGAAGTGGGAAGTGGGCTACAGAAGAAGGGCTGAGGAGACAGCTGCACAAGTCGGCGCTGGGCTCCGGCCTGAGACTTGCACCGATGTGGCAAGAAGCGATGAGAAGGCGCCGCTATCTGCTGGACAGGGCAGAGGCTGCCGCGGGTGGAGGAGGCAACGGGTCCGGGGCTGGGGGCTGTGGCGGCCGGCTGCACAAGTCCCGGGACTGGCTCTACGAGTCCTACTACTGTATGAGCCAGCAGCACCCACTCATCGTCTTCCTGTTGCTAATTATCATGGGCGCCTGCCTAGCCCTCCTCTCCGTCTTCTTTGCTTTGGGGCTGGTAAGTCCCTTTCCTGTATCCCCACATGCGCTCCAGCACCCCAGACCCTTGCGGTCTTCTCCCTCCTTGGGTACTATGGCTTTCCCATTCACTCCCTGCCTGTTTCCTCTACTGGACAGGCAACCTCCCTAGACCAGACTGTACCCCGTTGAGCCTTTTGCCACTCAGTCTTGTCCTAGCTGCTTGAACATCTTTCCTTCGAGACCTAAATCCCCTCCACCCTCCCCTTCCTCTCTGGTTTTCTTTCTCTTTGCTCTACTTGAATATTGGTTTCTCTTCCTGTCCCTGAGAAGGGCTTGTGGAAAGAAAAAAAAGAAACAATTTTAAAAAAAAGTTATTTTGGAAGGCATTAGACAAATAAAGTTGCAGAGTTTTCAGGAGGTCCATGGTCAAGACATCAAGATACGCTTGTTCTAGTGTATCTTCTCTCACTCTTAGGCAAAAACCATTTTCCTATTTAACCAAGTCAAACAGCTTTCTACTTCCTATTAGAATGGGCTCAAAATTAACAAATTCTTTGGGTTTGTTGCACTAATTCATTGGCTCCTAGTCTTTCCATTGGGACAGTCACCATTGTGGCATTTTGCAATGTAAAAACCATGACTTGAAAATGACTAAAACAAAAAAATCTTAAGGGAAAGGAGATGATAAGGTTTTAGCATGGAAAGAGAAGGAAAGTTTGTGAATTTTTCATGCTCATATAATTGGAAATGTACTAATATTCAAAATAAACCGTTACACTGAGTTTCATGAGAGGCAAGTTCATTCGATTTAGTGCACTTTATAAAGGTAGCCTTCAGGACTATGGCGAATATAGTGCCTGAACAGATGATGTCAATTGCCAGTTTATATTTTCAAGCAAAAATCTGTAACTCTGATACATTGGATTGAATGGAAAGGGTGAGTCTGTAGAGGGCAGTAAATTCCTGTCACTGGTTCTTTTTCTTATTTACGGTTCAAAGTTTTACTCCATACAAGAATAAATATAGGATTTGTTCTGAGGTATTTATTGTTCTAAGACATATGTTTGGTTACTCTGCTATTATTTCTCTCTCCCTCTTTCTGTCTTTGCTAGTCTCTGTTTCTGTCTCACTTTCTTTTTCTGTCTGCTTCTTCTCTTTCTCCCTCTGTCTCTTTTTGTGTGTCTCTGTTAGTCTCTGACTCTTCTCTTTGTCTATCTCTGTTTCTGCCTCTATGCTTTCTTTCTCTCTTTCTGTCTTTCTCCATTCTAGTGGGCATTTTCTGACTTACCAATTATGTTCTAGGCACTATCAAAGAAAAGGATACTTCTTATTTAGAGAGAAATGTGACAACAAAGTGGTTGTTTACCTTTTAAATTTTTTTGGTCAGGTGCAATTGAGAGCTTCCTTGGTATTTGGAAATGTGTTTTTTGAACCAGCTGGTGCTCACTTTTTTGTTTACTGGCGATGCTGAATGTTTACCATCAGAGGGTTACTTGGAATTCCTTTTAGTTTGTTTGGTGAGGCCATGCAATCTATATTGTCAAGATATGACACTGTTGGTTTCTTGTATAACAGAAAGGCACTGTGACCATCAAAGCATAAAGGAATGAATATTTTAGTATCAAGTCCACACACTTGAGAATGAAATAAAAATCTAAAAACAAAAAAGACCTAACAGATTCTTACTGTCTATCTGCCTAGGGTAATTCCTTCTGGTATTCATTCTCTAGGCTATTTTGACAAAGTTTTAAATATCTCTATTCATGGTACATTTATTTCTTTCGCTGAGATATTATTCTCTAATCACAGAACTGGAAAGGACTTCAAGTGGTGCTTCATTCTCTTTTTGAAAGACAGTCTTGAAAATCAAGTGGTTATCTGTTTGTATGTGGGGGTGGGAGTGAGGGGGAGTATATATTTTACTGCCTCCGAGGAAGGAAAATCCATAACTTCCCTTAGTAACTCAATACATTAAAAAGCTCTCACCTTCATGAAGTTCCTGCTTAGGTCCAGTCCTAAATCCATAATGCTCATTTGTTTCTTTGTAAGTGGGAAAGAAGATCAAGTGACCATCTATTTATAGCATCCATTTATATGTTTAAAGAGAAGTCTGAAATTGGGGCTCCATTTAACCTTGTTGTTTGTTTTTTTTTTCTGAGCAAATATTCTAATTATTTAACCTTTCATCATGGAAACTGCTAAAAGGTCAATCAACTTTTTGAGTGGAGCAGCCAATCTAAGTTATTTCTTTAACTTCATTTTACTTGATTTGTGGACTGGATCATAGATCTAGAGCTGAGAAGGATCACAAAGGACATCTAGTTGAAAGTATTTATTTTATAGGAGGAAAAGGAGGCCAGGTGACTTACTAAAAGTCACACAAGCCTGAGACAAGATTTAAATCCTGGTCCCTTCATTCCAGAGCCAGATGTGCTTTCCATTGTACCATAAGGCAAAATAATTTCCATATATCATGTTTTGTTTGGCTATTATACACTTTTTTCAAATGTTAGAGTGATAGCTTTGACAATTATTCTTTATCTAAAACCATTCATTCCTAATTTATCATTTTTTAAAAAAAAGCCTTGTTGCCTCTCTCTTCAGAATGTTTGTAAGGAAATCCTAGATCCAATGATGAGTAAAATCAAATATGGCAGTATCAGCCTATTTTTTTATGACCTGGTTCCATTCTATGCCACCCATCACACAAACACACCTTAGTGATCTCTTTTTGCAGGAACCTAAGACTAAATCTTCTTTGACATATGTGGTTGCTCTCTTTAGTTACTGAAAGCAGGATTGTGTCTGAATTTTCTAAGTTGGATAATCATATCAGAGAGAAACAACTTTTAAGTGAAAAGATCTGTATTATTTTTCTTACACTAGACCCTTTCAAGGTGCTGAGACACTTATGGGAATTCTGTTACCTTGTGATTTTTTGTTGTTATTGTTGTTGTTAAGACATCATATTAAACCTTATTATAACTCAAAGTCAGATGAAGTCTAGTTGGGAAGCTTCACAAGAAAAGGAAGTTTCATTTGAATTTGTAGTGCTTTCATGGACCTAGGATGATTTCTTTGTAAGACTGAAGCAAAGTTTGTCTTTGGAGACTTCCACCTCAGGATATTGAAATATTTCCTTTGGGATATTGCCCAGATTTCCACCTTAAAACACTTTACTAGAATAGCTTGGCTCTGATGTAATACAGGAGCTAAGCAGATCTATTTTTTGCTGCCTGAAATCTTGGACTGATTCCTTATTTTCTCCTGAATGTGTCTGATTTAGATTAACAGACTTTCATCAGATTTTAGTAGTAGAAAAAGTCTAGCCAATTCCTTAATAAACAACTACACTTTCTCAAAATATTTGACTTGAAGCAGTTATTCTAGAATGTTTCTAGCACGTAATAACTTTTGTGTGTATATGTGCCTTTGCTTATGATGTGAAATGAAATCAGTAATGAAAGAGGCTACAACTTCATCTTAATTTAATGTTTTAATTTTGCTGAATTTTGGAAGGATTTCACTTCAATAAGCAACCCAGTTTTTGATTCATAAATAATGTTACTAAGATAATTAAGTATTTTTAGGTAAAATTTGCAAATAAATCTTAAAGTAAAAACCATAATGCTTAATTATATTTTTTCTTGTTCCTTAAAATTAACTTGAATATTAAGATAATTTTTATTTATTGAAAACTATCTGAAAGTTTACAATAATGTAATTGGACTCATACTTTGTTTGGAATATTCAAACTGATAGATAATTTACTCTTTACAATTGGTAATGTACTTGAAGAAAAGGTTCAATGAGATTAAATTTTAATTTATTTCTCCATCTCCTCCCCATTCTCATTTTCCCTACTTTTTCTTTTTACTTAACTTTTGCTTACAAGAATGTGAATGATTTTCCACAAAACTAAAATCCTTATTTCCACATGTACATATTCAGATCTTTTCTACACAGAGTCAGGTTTGGAATAAAGGCTTGACATGCTCTTTTGACAAAAAGAAAAAATGCCAACCACTGGACATATTTCTATTTGTTTTCAGAAAAATAAAAACTGGACACATTTCTACTTGTTTTCAGAAAAAATGAATTATAGTAAGACACAGTTCATGCTCCAAGTTGAGATTAGAAATATAATCCTCATAATTCTCAAGTTGACAAATCACATTATAAACTATACCTTTTCCACACTTTTGAATTTTTTTCTATTGCATTTTTCTTTTTTTCTTTTTCTTTTTTCTTTTTTTTTGCATTTCTTTTCTAACAACCTATAGAACAGTTTATGTTTTCAGTTAATATAGGTTGAAGGAGTTTTCACAAAGTTATTGTGTTTTAGGCATAATAGAATAATAATGAGAATACTAGGTAGTAAACTCCAAGTAATTCAGTAATCTGCCTTACCCCTACCTTAAAATATCATTGCATCTTTCAAAGTTATTTCTTTCCCTCCTTATTCTCTAACATATTTGGAAGGTTTGGATGCAAGAAAAGGTTTCCCTTCTTCCTTGGCAACTGTTAAATGGCCTAATAATTAAATCTTATATCCATAATTACTTTTAATATTCCATTGCTAAAGTGTGTCTCACTGTAGAGTTTTTTAAATAGCAGAATAAATTGTTTTGTTTTGTTTTTTACATATGAAGATTGAAACCTTATTAAAAGTATCAGTAACCCCAAATAATTAAACTCTTAAAGGAACTGAGATGTTCTTTTCATAACCATCAGGTGGATTTTCTTCCAGATGGGCTGTTGTGAGAATGAGGAAATGGAATTTTTTCCCCCAGACTCAAGGTGGTGAAGGAAAGGGAAAAACAGATGTAGAGATTGAGGTAGAAGGCACAAACAAATCTCTTACTGAAAAGAGTTCTGTGTACAGTTACTCTGCCCTCACTATTGTTGAGGTATGGAGGCATAAGTGCATGTTCTGAGAAGTTCCACTGTACAAGGGCAGGGAGGATAAGGTTATGATTGTTGTGGATACTTTCGTGACAGATTTTATATAATTTTTGGAAAAAACAGATGTGCTAC